ATATTCCATATGCTGAAACTAATAATGAATTTCTAAAACGTTATAAAGTATATATTCTTACTTTGAAATGATTTGATTGAAATTGCAGGCTGGTAACGAGTGTTTCTGTGGGAATTCCATGCGGTTCAAGAAACGAAAACCATTGAAAGAATGCAGGATGAAATGTAAGGGAAATAACGAGGCTTGTGGAGGCGTCTGGAGGATCTTGATTTACAGAAACCCGAAATTCCGCAGCTCAGGTGAGTACTACTAAGATTATAGTAAGTAATTAATTGAAATTCTTTGCAAATATTGTTGAATTCCGTCGGACTGCCTTTTTTTCCATAGATGATACATTTTTGAATTGGTATTCAGGGGGAAATATGATTACAAACATATTAACAGTGACCGTCTTTATTTACAATAATATTTAACCTAAAAAATTCTGACAATTTTAAATATATTGTATTATTTCTTTGCAGACAAAGGAAAAATTAGGCGAAAGGGTAAGATATTTACTTTACTTAAACATTGATGGTGATTATATATCTTCCGCCTATTGGTAACAATACTTTTTTTCCTTGATGCAAATGCAGCATCAAGGTTTGGCAAAATAAAAGATAGTTTGTTCTCTGTACACATACATGTAGTTGTGGTGAATTCTTAAATGTAAATCAGAAGTATGACAAAACAGTTAAGTTAATGCAAATTATTATTGGAAATAAAAGAAAACGGAACACTTAAACTTTAACCCCGGCCTTTTTTTAAAAATACAATTACCGTTATCTACGTATATGGCAATGATGTCTCAAGTCTGTTGAAATCATACATATAAAAACATTAAGACTTGTATGGTTAAGAAAGTTTTCATATTTCTTCTTTTTTGCATTTTTTTTTGCTTCTGGCATTTCAAATTGACGTCGAATTATTGATAGGCCAAGCCGTCGTTTGATTAATCTGATGGTCTGTAAAAGTTTTGCCGTCCCTGTATACAAGGAATCTTAATTATCTTTTTAGATAAGCATAGCTCTTAGAAGGACTCGAGGAAAAAGAAGCTGGAAATGTAAAACTAAAAATAAGTATTTTCTTACAGATATGCTTGGCTGCTACCAGGACTCTAGGAAAAGGGTTCTTTCTGGACGACGGACGTTTGGTAAACACATGACAGTCGGCCGCTGTAGACGAAGATGTGAAAGAGAAAGAAAACAATTTTACGGTCTTGAGGTATTTCTCCCTTATTGTTTCAAATTTTTAAAGAAAGGAATTTTAACCACAGAATATTCCAACTTTCCCTGTATTGTTTCAACGTCTTGTAGAAAGAAATTTTAACCACAGAATATTCCACATGCTCAAACTAATAAATTGCAGGCTGGTAACGAGTGTTTCTGTGGGAATTCCATGCGGTTCAAGAAACGAAAACCATTGAAAGAATGCAGGATGAAATGTAAGGGAAATAACGAGGCTTGTGGAGGCATCTGGAGGATCTTGATTTACAGAAACCCGAAATTCCGCAGCTCAGGTGAGTACTACTAAGATTATAGTAAGTAATGAATTGAAATTATTTGCATATACATGTATTGTTGAATTCCGTCGGACTACCTTTTTTTCCATTCATGATACATTTTTGAATTGGTATTCAGGGGGAAATATGATTACAAACATATTAACATTGACTGTCTTTATTTACAATAATATTCAACCAGAAAAAAATTCTGACAGTTTTAAATATATTGTATTATTTCTTTGCAGACAAAGGAAAAATTAGGCGAAAGGGTAAGATATTTACTTTACTTAAACATTGATGGTGATTATATATCTTCCGCCTATTGGTAACAATACTTTTTTCCTCGATGCAAATGCAGCATCACGGTTTGACAAAATATAAGCCTGTACTCTGTACACATACATGTAGTTGTGGTGAATTCTTAAATCTAAATCAGAAGTATGACAAAACAGTTAAGTTAATGCAGAAGATTATTTGAAATAAAAGAAAACGAAACACATAAACTTGAACCCCAGCCTTTTTTCAAAATGCCATCACTGTTATCTAAATATATGGCAACGATGTCTCAAGTCTGTTGAAATTACACATAAAAACATTTAGACTTCTATGGTTAAGAAAGTTTTCATACTTTTTTTTTTTTGCATTTTTTTTTGCTTCTGGCATTTCAAATTGACGTCGAATTATTGAAAGGCCTAGTCGTCGTTTGATGAATCTGATGGTCTGTAAAAGTTTTTCCCGAACCTGTAAACAAGGAATCTTAATTATCTTTTAGATAAGGTTAGCTCTTAGAGGGACTCGAGGAAAAGGAGCTGGAAATATAAAACTTTACGAAGACTAAAAATAATGATTTTCTTACAGATATGCTTGGCTGCTACCAGGACTCTAGGAAAAGGGTTCTTTCTGGACGACGGACGTTTGGTAAACACATGACAGTCGGCCGCTGTAGACGAAGATGTGAAAGAGAAAGAAAACAATTTTACGGTCTTGAGGTAGTTTTTCCCTTTATTGTTTCAACGTCTTGTAGAAAGGAATTTTAACCACAGAATATTCCATATGCTGAAACTACTAATTAATTTCTAAAACGTTATAAAGTATATATTCTAATTTTAAAATGATTTGTTTTAAATTGCAGGCTGGTAATGAGTGTTTCTGTGGGAATTCCATGCGGTTCAGGAAACGAAAACCATTGAAAGAATGCAGGATGAAATGTAAGGGAAATAACGAGGCTTGTGGAGGCGTCTGGAGGATCTTGATTTACAGAAACCCGAAATACCGCAGCTCAGGTGAGTACTACTAAGATTATAGTAAGTAATTAATTGAAATTATTTGCATATATTGTTGAATTCCGTCGGACTGCCTTTTTTACATAGATGATATATTTTGAATTGGTATTCAGAGGGAAATATGATTACAAACGTATTAACAGTGACCGTCTTTATTTACAATAATATTTAACCTGAAAAAATTCTGACAATTTTAAATATATTGTATTATTTCTTTGCAGACAAAGGAAAAATTAGGCGAAAGGGTAAGATATTTACTTTACTTAAACATTGATGGTGATAATATATCTTCCGCCTATTGGTAACAATACTTTTTTCCTCGATGCAAATGCAGCATCAAGGTTTGACAAAATATAAGATAGTCTGTACTCTGTACACATACATGTAGTTGTGGTGAATTCTTAAATCTAAATCAGAAGTATGACAAAACAGTTAAGTATTGCAGAAAATTACTTGTAATAAAAGAAAATGAAACACATAAACTTTAATCCCCGCCTTTAAAAAAAAAAGCAATTACTGTTATCTAAATATATGGCAACGATGACTCAAGTAGTATACAAAAAAAAACATTAAGATTTCTATGGTTAAGAAAGTTTTCATATTTTTTTTCTTTTTTGCAATTTTTTTTTTTTTTTTTTTTTTTTTTTTGCTTCTGGCATTTCAAATTGACGTCGAATTATTGATATTCCTAGTCGTCGTTTGATGAATCTGATGGTCTGTAAAAGTTTTTCCCGAACCTGTAAACAAGGAATCTTAATTATCTTTTAGATAAGGTTAGCTCTTAGAGGGACTCGCAGGAAAAATTGGAGCTGGAAATATAAAACTTTACGAAGACTAAAAATAATGATTTTCTTACAGATATTCTTCTCTGCTCCTAGGTATTAAATAAACTACCAGGAATTTTAGGAAAAGGGTTCTTTCTGGGACGGACGTTTGGTAAATACATGAAAATACAGTCGGCCGCTGTATTCGAAGATGTGAAAGAGAAAGAAAACAATTTTACGGTCTTGAGGTAGTTTTTCCCTTTATTGTTTCAACGTCTTGTAGAAAAATTTTAACCACAGAATATTATATGCTGAAACTACTAAATTAATTTCTAAAACGTTATAAAGTATATATTCTAATTTTAAAATGATTTGTTTTAAATTGCAGGCTGGTAATGAGTGTTTCTGTGGGAATTCCATGCGGTTCAGGAAACGAAAACCATTGAAAGAATGCAGGATGAAATGTAAGGGGAATAACGAGGCTTGTGGAGGCGTCTGGAGGATCTTGATTTACAGAAACCCGAAATACCGCAGCTCAGGTGAGTACTACTAAGATTATAGTAAGTAATTGATTGAAATTATTTGCATATATTGTTGAATTCCGTCGGACTGCCTTTTTTCCATAGATGATACATTTTTGAATTGGTATTCAGAGGGAAATATGATTACAAACGTATTAACAGTGACCGTCTTTATTTACAATAATATTTAACCTGAAAAAATTCTGACAATTTTAAATATATTGTATTATTTCTTTGCAGACAAAGGAAAAATTAGGCGAAAGGGTAAGATATTTACTTTACTTAAACATTGATGGTGATAATATATCTTCTGCCTATTGGTAACAATACTTTTTTCCTCGATGCAAATGCAGCATCAAGGTTTGACAAAATAAAAGATAGTTTGTACACATATATGTAGTTGTGGTGAATTCTTAAATCTAAATCAGAAGTATGACAAAACAGTTAAGTATTGCAGAAAATTACTTGTAATGAAAGAAAATGAAACACATATAAACTTTAACCCCGCCTTTTTAAAAAAAAAATGCAATTACTGTTATTTGGCAATATTTGGCAATCAATAAACCAAGCTAAATATGGCAATTGGAATTTCCCCTACCTTGCGTATGTCTCAAGTCTGTTGAAATTACACATAAAAACATTAAGACTCCTATGGTTAAGAAAGTTATCATATTTTTTCTTTTCAATTGGAAAGTTTTTTTGACCTTTTTTGTTTTTTTGCTTCTGGCATTTCAAATTGACGTTGAATTATTGATAGGCCTAGCCGTCGTTTGATGAATGTGATGGTCTGTAAACGTTTTTCCCGAACCTGTAAACAAGGAATCTTAATTATCTTTTAGATAAGCTTAGCTCTTATCTTTAAGATAAGCTTAGCTCTTAATAGGACTCAATGAAAAGGAGCTGGAAATATAAAACTTTACGAAGACTAAAAATAATGATTTTCTTACAGATATGCTTGGCTGCTACCAGGACTCTAGGAAAAGGGTTCTTTCTGGAAAACGGACGTTTGGTAAACACATGACAGTTGGCCGCTGTAGACGAAGATGTGAAAGAGAAAGAAAACAATTTTACGGTCTTGAGGTAGTTTTTCCCTTTTGTTTCAACGTCTTGTAGAAAGGAATTTTAACAACAGAATATTCCATATGCTGAAACTAATAATGAATTTCTAAAATGTTATAAAGTATATATTCTAATTTTAAAATGATTTGATTGAAATTGCAGGCTGGTAACGAGTGTTTCTGTGGGAATTCCATGCGGTTCAAGAAACGAAAACCATTGAAAGAATGCAGGATGAAATGTAAGGGAAATAACGAGGCTTGTGGAGGCGTCTGGAGGATCTTGATTTACAGAAACCCGAAATACCGCAGCTCAGGCTCAGGTGAATACTGTTGAATTTATAGTTATTAATTGATTGAAATTCAAAACAGAGAAATATAAGAAAGAGCAAAAATTGATGGTATATGTACTATAAACTGATGATACCTTTAATGGAAAAAAAGATGCACATTGTTAAAAAACACATCTATTTCACATACTGTATTCCTTTAAAAAAAACCATGTCTCTTTTTTTTTAATTTGTTGTTAAATTGAAAGACAAGTTTGCAAATTAGATGAAATATCAATAATTTTGAAAATGATATGCATGTACATTCTGAGATCATGTCTTGAAAGTGATTATCCATTATCATATACAAAAAGAAATCAACAGTTTGGATTTGCTTTTTTTTCAAATAATGAAAAAGGTATTATTCGATTTGACAGGAAACTAAAGTATGTCTAGGGCAAATAATGCTTTATATCTTCACTTTATGTTTGGGGTTAGTTACTCTAAGTCAATAAAACTGATTACCCTTTATTTAAGCAGAGGCTCTGAAAATGTGAAAAGACCACCAGATCTTATTGTGTTCATAGTATTAAAGTACTTTGGAATTAGCTCCTCCACAAATTTCAACTAACTGTGCATAGTCATTGTTTTTGATTCAAGCAAAATGCAGAATGGTAGCAGAAGCTACTAGTAATCACCACTAGAATTAACTCAACACTTATGTATATATGTACAATATGCTTGGAATTTCATTTCAGGATTCGTAGGATGTTACAAGGACGGCTGGTATAGGACTCTAGGTGGCGCTTTTAGGCGGAGTAGACGCATGACAGTCAAAAGATGTATTAAAATTTGTAAACGTAAAAGGAATAGATTCGCTGGAGTAGAGGTATGCTTACATCAGAGAAAAAGAAAGAGATCTTGATAGATAGTAGTAATGGAAATACTAAGATATCTCTGAGTATATGATCAAAAAATATTTTCAAGGACTTTCATTTTTTATTTCATTAAAATGGTGTAGAATATTCGGCATTTGATTAATGGGGTATTTTGGTGAACCAATTTTTGTTTCACTCTTTAAATACAATAGTAACAACAATTTTACCTTCATGCACTGACATTTTATTTTACAAAGCACATATGATGCTGATCGTGTTGAAAAAGAATAACAGGAGCGTATAATCTGACACAATGTTCTTGTTTTAAAAATAAATAAAAAACTTCCTTAAACCCAGAAAGAACACCTCCACAGACGTTCCATATGATATTTGGTGAATTTCAGTTGTCCGTGTACATAAATACGACGATATGACTCTAGAATGTTGTTTTTGGTAAAAAGAAAAAAAATTATCAAATTGTTTAACAAATAGATGAACCCAAATACAAATAACTGTAGGATCAGTGTTAAACTTGTATGTGAGTGAAAGGAAGCAATGAAAAGGGTGAAGATAACGACCAGTGATCGATCTGAAACAATTTAAATAACAATTTTGAATTTAGTATATAAAGAGAACAAAAACACTGACATTTGTAAATTCTGGAAAGGGGGTCAAGTGACTAGGAAGAGGTATATATTCCCTGTCAACCGGTCATAACAGCCGTAAGCCGTATGAATTGACAGAACCGTAGTCAAATTCAGTATAAAAAGTAAGGCCTAGCAATTGGTATTACACAATTCAACAAAAATAATATGGTAAAGTGTTGATTTCATTTGCTAAATACTTGTAGGACATTATTACTTAGTAAGTAACTTAATAATTTAATTTCCCAGAATGGGGTGGAATGTTTCTGTGGAAATTCTCTTCGCCGGAAGAAGAGGGTTGCCAACTCACAGTGTAAAATGCCGTGTGGTGGGCGCAGAAACCAAGGGTGTGGTGGAAGATGGAGGATTGCTATTTATAAGACAAACGTTAAAAGAGGTAAAAAAAAAAAAAGAAAGAAGCAAAAGGAAGAAAGGTCAAGTCATCTATTTTTTTGAAATCTATTGCTAATTTTTTTAAGAACATCATATAACCCTAAGTATTAACGAAGTATATCAGTATGTTATTGTTGTGTTGCTATGAAGACCATGAAAAAATCATGATCATGCTAAAAAAAAAAGTATTAGCAGAGATTGGCTCTTTAAAACATTACGCGTATATTGTGAAAGATTTATAGTATCACTATCAGAAAGTGTCTTCGACTTCCTTTCTGTACCTCCATATTACCAAAGGTATAATTAGAAAAAAAAAGAACTTTATGTTTGCCCCTCCCTGAAATAGATAAACATTAAATCATAATTTTATTTTTATTTGCAAAGGAAATAATTGTGGAAGACATAAGAAATGTCACTCAAAAGCAAGATGCATCAATGGAGAATGTCGATGTAACAAGGGATACACAGGGGACGGCGTTAAGAGATGCTACCGTAATCCTTCTTTCTTAATCTTTACTGTTATAATTCGATATTATTAAGTTGGTATTCAAATAGACTCCATGTTAATAACGATTTAAACCACTAATTACTGTAGAAACCTGTACCTGTTCAGCTTCTGGAGATCCTCACTATAGAACCTATGATGGTCAGATGATACACTTCATGGGTAACTGTAAATACACCCTGACTAAAGTCAAAAATACCAATTCTAACGTCTTCAACGTGGAAGTCAAGAACGAATACCGCGGCAGATCTCGTTCTGTGTCCTATACAAGGCTGGTGGACGTCAAATTAGGAAAAAACACCATTCGTCTGCACAAGAAACACCAAGTATATGTAAGTTGAAAAAGAATTAAGCGTCCTCAGCAATGCTATAAAATTTGAATAATATCAAAATTTTGATGATACTAGTATTTTGATTATTTCATGCTCGAGAAAGTATAAAAAATTGTAACGTTTGATTTAAAAAATAAAAATTCAGAGTATTCCAAAAATTTCTTCAGCTAAATGGATTAAGAATATTCCTACCTTTCACAAAACGTGGCGAGTTCAGAATTTTTAGAAGCGGTAACAAAGTCAAGGTCATAGCCAGTACTAACGATGGAGATGGGGTTGTCGTTTGGGACGGCTCGAGCGCAGTCACTGTGACTGTTCCAAAAAGTCTCGGACGTCGTATGATAGGACTTTGTGGGGACTGCAACGGGAAGAAAGATGATTTCCGTACAAAAGATGGAATAGATGTGTATAGGGACCCGAAAAAATTCATCAAGATTGGCAACAGTTATACTGTGAAAGATGATACTGACCAAAGACATAAGAGGTACCTCCAAAATATTAAATTATAATGTTGCCTATCTAGAATTATTATTCGTCCATTTGAAGTGAAAATAACTTGAGGGGAAAAAAGCACCGCATCTCTTTCAACCATCTCTAGATTACTATAGTAGTTCATTTGAAATTAATGTTCTTTTGCAGTTGTGAGGTAAATGAACCACCGAATAAATGCACACCAGAACTGCGAAGAAAAGCAATGGATAGCACAGTATGTGGTTTTCTTAATCCAGAGAAGAAAGACCAAAGTCCATTCAAAGATTGTTTAGATGAGAGTCCCGCGACAAGTAAAGAAATGTTTGAAAACTGTATATTTGATTTCTGTACATATTACTCAGAAGTCTCTCAGCGGAAGAGAACGATCTGCCAGAGTATCGGCGGTTATGCCGAGTACTGTGCCGACTTGGGAATTGTTGCTATGTGGCGATCTACTGATTTCTGTCGTATGTAACCTTAGATTAATCGTTTATTGAAATTTGATTTAAGAAAGAAGATAAAGGGAACATGATTTATCAAAACATGTACCTATTTAAAAATATCTAGAAAACCTTTTTGTTTTCGGGCATTTGAAGATAAGATAATGAGGTACCTTTATCCGTTTAGCATTGCCCTGTGGTGAAAATATGGTGTATGATTCTGAGATGAGTGGCTGTCCAGCTTCATGTGTAAACCCAGACTCTGAGAAAGACTGCGATCAGCCTCCAACAGAAGGATGTCGTTGTAAGGAGGGGTTCGTCCTAAGTGATAACAAATGTGTTGAGAAGTCAAAGTGTGGGTGTAAAGGAGCAGATTCTCAATATTATCCTGTAAGCAATTAAAACATTGGTCTACCATTTTAAATTACAAACTTTCCAAAAATATTGTTCTTACCTGTATGACTGGTGACATTTAACTTTAACTAGGAATACATCATAGAATGACGTTGTAGAGCTTTTCAATTTTTCAGTCAATGACACATTGTTCCAACTCACGTTGTACTTTTGGTTTCAGTCGGCTCAGTGGCCAATATAACCTAATTAAAGTGTATCGTTATTAAAAACTAGTAGAGTCTTTGAAGAAAAAATGATAAAGGAAATGTAGCCTATTTTACTGTGACCTACACGAAATCTTCTTGGTTTCAGCTGGGAGCAACATTAACCTCCTCGGATTGTACGACAGTACAGCAGTGTAAGATGGAGGGCGGTAGTGTAGGGTTTAAGACAATTCTTACAAAACCAAGGTGTGGACAATACCAGACATGTTCTCTGTTCAATGGATCTCCGACGTGTTTGTGTCAGGAGGGATATATTTCTGACGGGGGAGATGGCTGCTTAGGTACCTATAAATTTTATGCAAAATATAATAAACATTTTGAAAATATTTTTAAAATATTTCAAATGATTTCAACAATTTTGATAGCGTATCATACAGAAAATATAATTTTTAATAATTCCTTTTCCAGAGGATAGTCCCACGTGCACTGGGGAGAAAACAGACATCAAGTGTGAGTCTTCTAGTGGGAATAAAGTGGTGTGTACTGTTCCTAATGCGAAAGCCGTGCTGCATGTTAGATCCACTGCATCCGACTGTAAGTATGGATCAACATACGGAATCTCCGGCGATGGCGTCTGGGTGTCGCTGACATGCAGAGGAACCTTCTCTGTCTGTTACCTTCCAGGTATTCTGCAAATAAATTTACAATATGCTAAAAACATATTTTGGGAAATTTTGATTTATTTGCTGCATATGCTGTCTGTAAAAATGTTCTGATTTGATTTTTTCCTTATCCTTATTGCAGTACCACCCCCGTCAGACCCAGGTAAGAGTATGATTCTAGTCCATTGTATAAAAATCAATAAGCAATAAATCATCTACCAGCAAAATAGTAATTCCTTATACTTTCATTTCAGTCACACGAAATTTACATGCACATTAGGTCTCTTTAGCTCCTGACCTATCGGCTGACGAAATTTACATTCCGGTACTTTCAAAGAGATATTACAGAGAAAACAAATTTAAATTGAAATATTACACTATACTATGTAGAACATAAAAAATGATTCAATCCCATTATCATAAAATGTCTTGTCTGAAATAATCTTTTTATCATAGAACGTCTTGTCTGCTATAATCCCATCATCGTACAATTTCTTCTCTGCTATAATCCCAGCATAGAATATCATAAAATGCCCTATCGTCACAGAATGTCCATCTGATATAATCTTATTCGTCATAGAATGTCTATCACAGAATGTCTTGTCTGATGTAATAATCATCATCATCATATAATGTCTTGACTGTCTGATGTAATCCCATTATCACAGAATGTCCTGTCTGATACAGTCTTATCATCCTATAGAATGTCTTGCTCATGATGATCCCCTTGGAAAGAGGTACCAAGGCACCATGTCCTCTACAGAGTTGGGCTACACGTGTCAGAAATGGTCCTCTCAGTCGCCACACGGGCATTCTTATCTGAAAACCTTGGACAACAACCACTGTAGAAATCCGGACAATGAGAAGGCAGCGTGGTGTTATACCACTGATCCCAAAAAGAGATGGGACTACTGCCATATCCCAGTCTGTCGTACGTAAACGGTTAATCTGGCCTTCATATTGTTTCTCTCGATATGTTTTATGATTATTATTATTTCATTATTCACCGTATACGTATATATGTTGATGTTTAATATAGTTTATAAATACTGTAGAGCATATGGGCTTTAAAATCGTGGAAATTATTATTCATTGTTAAAAAAAAAAATTCGATCAAAATACAAATACTTTTTTTTATGTTCTCTTAGAAAAAGAATGGTTTTCATTGTAAATAATTTTATCATCATGGCATTATAACTTTAACTAAATGCATAATGAATTTTATTTTGATTCACAGCGGGTGCAACACCAGTCGTAAGTGTTGATGGTAAGTTTGTTTTATTGGTGCTAATTTGTATTTTTTTAAGATAACAGCAGAATATTAGATGAACTTTTTTAGCCCTTACTCTTATTACTTACTCCTAATATATAGAATGCCTCAATGCTGGTGATCCGAGAGGACTGAAATATAATGGTTACAAAAACACGACGAAATCAGGCAAAGCATGCCAGGAGTGGGGACGACAGAGACCTCACAGTCATCCTTTCCAAAGATTGGCAGATCAAAGTAACTTTTGTAGAAATCCCGATAACGAACCTGCCCCCTGGTGCTACACAACGTCCAGTGCCACTCGGTGGGAATTCTGTAGCATTCCGGATTGCGGTTAGTTCTTAAGACGACATTTCGTTCAGAAGTATGATATTTGTGAATTCATTGGTTGAGGAATAATATCAATTGAGGATGATTGGATGGTTTTGTAATAAAAAAAAAATACAGTTTTCGCAAAAGTTGCTTCTTGAATGTTGAACATGAAATTGAATATTCTTTTTATTTTTATTCCTAACAGGCGAATGTGACATCAAGCAAGAGAGAAGTTTGCAATGTGAAATCGTTTATAAGGTGACTGGCAAGTGTTACTTTGCCTCTAGTGCTCTCAGCAAATGCAAGTTCACCGTGCGTTTGAACGAATACAGAGTACATGGCTTGTCGGAAGCTGTGGTACAGAAGGATGGCAAAACACACACTCTCCGTGCAGGGGATACCCATAAAAGTTGTGCCTCGTTTGAGATGCGCTCCAACACTCTGTACGTAGTGGAGAAGCTTTGTGACGAAAAGTGTCCAGAATCTCAAGTTATTTTAAACTGAAGACACAGTGAAACTTGTTCTTTTCAGTTTTCTTCCTGTTCTTCATTCTTTACTTAGATTCAAAATAAAGTGTTCAGCAAAGTCAGCTTATTTTATTTACGTTCTATTTTACCACTGAACTTCTCATTAATTTCAATAGTAATGAATTCCTCCTAAATACAAATATTTTGAAAGTGAACTGGTATATGTCTAAATTCAATTAAACTTTTTGGGGGAAAGTGGTCATATATCAATGTCGGTATTGGTCATGTCAGAGAAATATTCTGTGATGTTTTATTGTTTCAAAGTATCAAGGGCATGCAAGTGGTCTTAGTATATCAATGTCGGTATTGTAGCAAAAATACCGTCTGTAATTACAATTTGATATAACTGATTTTTTAACCGATTTTGCAATTGATAGGTAGATATATTCTGTGAGGTTTTATTGTTTCAAAGTATCAAGTAGACCTAAATGTAGCATAAAAATTTTTAAGTCCGTAAATATTTTAGTATTTAAAAACAATTGTTTTATATGAAAAAAATTGGCTAATCTCCTTTAGAAGAACAATGGCTCTTATGTACAAATTTAAATTATATATTAAATATATTTTCTTTTGAAAACTAACAAACACGATAATGTTTATTTAAATATATTTTCTTTTAACTAACAAACACGATATGGATCTTAACGCGAATGTGTGGGAAGAAGTCCTTGCCTTTGGAAATTTCTAAAGATTTATCTGTGTTGTGAATTGAATTAAGAAATGAAATCGATTTATTTACTCGGCAGGACGTTCCTTACAGTGAAACACTTTCCTTTGAAATTTACATTGAAACATCAATATTACTAAGTAGTATTTCTAACCTCGAAGAAAAACAAACGCTTTGTGACATTAATTTAGAAATTTTATTATTAACAACTGAGATCAACAGTATGTCTTTGATTAGGCCCGTTCCAGCTCATCCTCGTTAATCTCTACTCCCTCGTCATCACTGACGTCACGTCTCTCCTCCTCTTCCACGTCCCTGCCTACTTTCTTTTTCAAGCATCTGATAAATCCGTTACCGTGGTATCCTTTTTTACACTTGCAGATATTTCCGTTAAAGGAAGCATTCCTTACACATGGTCCTGCAAAGATTTTTTTAATTTGGTGTTATAATAATACGCTTTAAGATAAGCAAAATAAATTATGTGCTCAAGAATTTGTATGTTAGCACAAATTTTAATAGTTCAAACTTTTTTCTAATCAATTAAACTTCGTAAAATTTTTTGTTAATCGTTTACATCGGTACAATAAAATGATTTATAACAAGTCATGTGGCATACTTCTGCATCCATAGATAACTGTAAGGTATTTGAAGGTTCCTTTGCAAGGGTCTCCAAAAACTCCATTGCTAGCTTTCAATTTACATCGTCTTCTACCGTCACAACTTTTGACCACCAATTTCTTTGATTTAACAGCTCTGCAAGTTGTCGTCTTTATCGGTTTGCCTTTGGCACATGTGTGTTTGTTTCTTCGGCCATATACGGCGTAAAAAGTTCGAATGACTCGACCTCTGCTGCAATGCAAGGTTAAATTTTTGTGCTCGCAAGCCGTTCCCTTTCCAACTTTAAACCCTAAATTGAAACGAGTGTACTTGAGATCGATAAATGGTTCAAATTATATTTCAGGTGTTGTTTTTGCATTGTTTCACTTACATTTGTTTGGTTTTTTTTTTTTTGAATCTACAGATTTTATGATTTTATATTTTTGTGTCATATCAAAAATTAATCTTGGAGTATCAATTTACATACAACGTATTACAGATGTGAAGCGTCTTCTGATGCATTGACGTTTAGCTTTATTCCATCTAAATCCTTGTAGGCACCGACATCTTCCTCTGAAACACCATGCGTTCTTTCCACACTTATTCTTCTTGCCACACCTGCGGCCCTTTCTGACACATTGTCGCCTTCTTTTACTCCAAGCAAAGCCCCTTTTGCATCGGCATTTTCCTTTCACACACTGGGCATTCTTCACACATTTCTTACTGCACTTTTTCTCTATGAAGTAAAAAACCAATTAAAACATTTCAAGAGGTAGAAGTTAGAAAACTAGTAATCGTTTAATATCTTACACAGTTACTCTATATGCTTGCATGCAGTTAAACCACCCAGTAATAAGAGTATAGTGCTGCAAAAAGAGGAATGAAGAAGCCTCCCAAGAGCACAAGTTCCTTTTAACAATTATAGACAAAACTGGGTAAAAATCTGAAAGATTCATATAAAATAATGTAGTAACTGCATAAGATGATTGAATAAATCTTGAACTTTTAATTTGAAGAAGCTTTTGATAGAATATCTCGACTAACGTTTGCGACAAGTGTAAACAACATTTAGGGAACTGGTGTATGTTGGGCAACGACCTCTGGCTCCGACTCGACATCTTGTCCTTCCATTACAGGTCCTTCCGACCTGAAAACGTGACCACCGTGTCCAACATTTTGGTCTTAAACTAGAACATCTTCTGTCATTACGTTTGTGTGTCGTATAAAGCACACGTATTGTTCTGCCTCTTCCACACCATAAATTTAACCTTTGATTTGCACAAGCAAACGATCGACGGAATCCTGTTGAATTAAGCTTTGTACAGTATGGTGAAAACTGAAGTATTCATTTTTTTACATTGCATATGAGAGATTTGGTATTCAACTCACCTCTTACATCCCTTTCTTCGAGTTCTTTCACTTCTCTAGCTGCAAACGCAAAATTATACCCATAAAATTCACAAATCTGAGTAAAATTTTCAATCGCAGAATGTCGATAGATTTACCTGGAAGCTGTACCGGTCTTTCCTCTTCTTCTGTTTCTTTGTCTAGTAACACAAAAACATTTTAATATAACTACACAAAAACATTTTAATATAATTTAAGACCAATTATGACCACCACTACTTCAGAACGTAAGTAAATAAAAGAAAATCGGCTGCATACCTTGTGTTGACCTTTCCGACTCTTCTTCTAAATCTCTTGCATCTTTCGCTACAATATTAAGACTAAATTGCAAGTTTAAAAGAAGACAGAGCAAAATATTTTCCGAATCCATGAAAATAAAATTTACTTGAAAGATGGCCATGCTGTTAAGTAAAGAATGTCGATAGATTTACCTGGAAGCTGGACCGGTCTTTCCTCCTCTTCTGTTTCTTCGTCTAATAATACAAAAACAATTTAATATTAATTTAAAGACCGATTATGACCATCAACTTCAAAACTTAAGTCACTGAAAGAAAATCGGCCACAGACCTTGTGTTGACCTTTCTGACTCTTCTTCTAAATCTCTGGCATTTTTCACTACAATATTTAGACTGAATTGCAAGTTTAAAAAAAAAAGACAGAGCAAAATATTTTGCAGAATCCATGAAAATAAACTAAATTTACCTGAAAGGTGACCATGTTGTTCTTCCTCTTCGTCCGTAATTGCCGCAGTCTCTGTCTTATCCTCTAGTTGTATGGAATCTATTAAATCAAGTAAGTTCTACTTTTAAAAATATTCTAAATGCTTAAATCCCTTTGTTTCATAGTTATGCATGATATCATGAATATTAAGCTGAATAAAATCATAATAGCGATGAATAGAACATAAATATAAAGCACGCTTACAGTGAACAGACGCCAGCAGTATACCCAGAATCAGAGGTACCTTCATCCTTGGATTGTGGTCGTGTGGGGACTGGTCTTGGTTCCATCAATTTTATACAAATTGTTACAGTACATTTTTATGGATTTATGACTATTAAGATCTTTACTAACCTCACGTAAGTGTGTAGCAGCTGGTTTTGGTCGAGTTTCCGAGATCTGAAATTGAAGTATTCAAATTATGCACTTTCTGATACTTTATCATCTTAAACACTTTAAACAATATTATAGGTAGGTTCCCTTAACCTTACCTCTACTGGATTCCTTAACTTTGAATCCTTACAAAGATACTTTGCCGGGTCCAGCAAATCTCCACCAAGCTCCTAATTTTACTTCTTACAAAAATATTATCTGCTGTAAAGGAGAAAGTTTTGACGCACTTTGTCACATATTGTAGAAGAGGTGTGTAATACATATTTTTTAAATTTCATATGTCAGTCAGTTACATGGAAACATTGTCAGCACTTTTCTAAGTTTATCAGTACCGGCAGTAAAAACGTCAGTAATTGTCTAAGTTTTACAGTAACGACAGCACATTGTCAGTAATTTTCTAAGTTTGTCAGTAAAAAATGGGAATGTCAGTACGTTTTTGACTTAGTAGTGATTTGACTTTCTACATTTATGCAACCATTCTATATAGTAAATCAAGACTATAATCTTTTTGATATCATAGACAACTGCTTCTTCATAAAAATAGAACTCCTGTGATTGGTCTTCAACAGAATTATTTCGTTAAAAACACTCTGATTCTAAACACAGGCACATTGAAGTTTGATATTTTTGGCAACATTTGCGTAGTCTTTCGAAACCGGGTATTCCAACAAATTGTTGGAAGTTTAATGGGAACTAATTGTCCTCATTTATTAGCTACCCTGTCTTCACATTCCCATGAAACAGAATTTACTCAGAATTTTTACATGAAAATAGAAATCATGTTGTGGTCTTTAACTGGACTTGTATATAGTTATACATGTATCAATCTAAAAAAGTTACTTTCTTTCACTTGTCGAGTCAATGTATCCCAGGAAAGTTTTACTCTGAAATGTTCCCACAAAACAACATCTGACTTACGGTTTGGCTTAATAACATTCTTCATTAGTCCAATTTTATATTTATATACATGTATAATGACAAAATTCCTTAATCTAAGCATATTGCCAATATATCGATATTACAAAATCGTATTGCGATACGATATTGTTTGTCATTGTATTGCAATATATTGAAATATCGATATTATTGCCCAGCCCTATAAAAGGGGCTGCAATATTTGTTTCATAATTTGATTTTATATATCTATAGACAACAAGGGCCAACTGACAAATAAATTGATTGATTGATTGATTGATTGATTGTATGTTTTTTAACGTCCCTCTCGAGAGTTTTTCACTCATATGGAGACGCCACCGTTTGCGGTGGAGAGCGGCATATTTCGTCCTATACCCGGCACTTAACGGTCATTAAGCAGGGAGGGATCTTTTTCGTGCCAGTACCTACTTCGTACGGATCAACTCCTTACTTCGCGACTCTACAGATGACGTTCTAACCACTGCGGCGACAAACAAATAAATTTAATAATAAATTAGATTAATTCCTTCAGTTTTTTTCCTTTGACAACTTTCTTGTTTGTTTAAATATATTCCGCTATCACCTGCACATGGTGTTTAATGTCTCCGAACTAGTTCAGTGTGCAAGAGCATGCACCGATCAATTTTTAAACCGAGACAGGCTACTGACAGAAAAGTTGATGTTACAGTCAGGGGTTTTAACAACCTCGTTGAAAGCCAACATTTCAAAATTACCTTATTACCGAATCTGACCTAAAATTGGGTCGTAATTTGCTTACATGCTTCCTGCCAATTATAAGACTTTCTAAAGGAATCACTGTCTAGTTTGTTGGATATGTCAGGGTTTATAGCGCTAGTTGGAAACATGAGTTGCATAACGGAAGACCGTTGATCAATGTACCTGGCATACCCAACAAACTAGACAGTGATATCTTATATTTCCATTTTATTGGGAAATAAATTTATAGATTTAGATTTTAAAAATGGTGTCAAATAAATGTATATTGTGATCGGGATGTCCCGTCTGTTACGCTTTGGGGTACCCATCTCTTGTCCGCAACTCCTCATACCACTGAATGAAATTTAATGACTTTCACAGAATCTTTTTAACATAGTGCCATTGTGACCTCCTATTTAACTTTTTGATCCGATACAAATTTTGGATTTCCCATAGAAAAACATGGACACTGCCATTCTTTATTCAACTTTTTGATCCGACACATATTTTGGGTTTCCAATAGAAAAACATGGACACTGCCATTCTTTCTATAATATTGAAGGGTACACATCTCTTATCCGCAACTCCTCAGAGATCTTGAAAAGGGGGCAGTTTGGAATCGAGTAGGGGCCCTCAGTCACAAACACACTGATTTATTAAATCTTATGTATATTTTGGGCACAAAAGAGGGCGGGCCCACCCACCCCCCTCTCTAAATCCGCCAATGCAAACTTGGAATACATTTTATTATATTTTAATTAGGATATGATGTTGACACGAAGATTTTGTTAAAAACATGGGGATTATTGGAAATTGTATGGTAGATAAAGTGTACCCGTATACTGAGGATACAGACTAAGGAATTGGTGCATTTATTTCTTGAACTAAAATTGTAAATCCCAATCCTAGAAATTGAAGGTTCAACAGTTTGGTAAATCATAATGCAACTCCTTTCACTTCCCATTTTTAACAAAATTGAGTCATCACCATATTTTCTGGGCTCTTGAGACAAGCACCTGTTACCAACAGCAGTAGAACTTCTGATGACAAATTAGTATGTGTATACAAAGACTGCAGTACTTAATATCATCCGTTTGTTCCGCATTGATTTTCTGCCCAATGTAACACAAGAGATGTAAATAGTGAGATGTTTTTATTATCCTCTTCTTACCAATTTCAATACACTTGTCATACAGGCAACGTAACTAGACAATCTGTCATCACTATTTATAAATAAAGCATTATGTAGCTGCACATGATCAAATTATGTCAGTGAATGCAAATTAATGTAATAAATAAACTTCCATTATACTACGCATATGCATATTAAAACATCATAATTTCACTTATCCAAAACCTCTATTTTCCTATTAAATAAAGAAATTTATTCCATGGCTATCAATGGAATGGGCTTTTATAATATATTATGTTGACACTTTGTTTACAATATCAAATACAATATGTATTTCCTTTGTGCACATTTCCTAAAATAAACTTTCAATTCATATTTACAATTTCAGATAAATAGTAAAATAAATATTCAAATCAATTAAAACCTCAATAAGTATACATGCATCTAAAGAGAGAAGAAAATGACAGAAAACTGTAATTTTTACACAGAAATATATTGGTCCAGTAAAGAAAAGTTATCATTTCTATATTAGAATCTAAACCTCTTTTATGGGTGTGGACAGAAGAGTTATGAAAACAACTTGTTTTTGAATTTTTTGTATATCTCATTTTTTTGTTATGAAAACAGTCAGTGGATTATCCATATCATATTTAGTGAGCCAATAATTAACAGTTATTTATAGAAAGTGTGGCATACGGTAAACATGAAAATGTTTAGGTTTGGAGGAATTTTCTCAATCTTTGCAATTTCTTTATTTTCTAGTCTTGTAGACATACATTGCATAAGACATAACAAATATTGCAAAATTTAAACTTAATCTAACATACGTCTTCCAGACATCTTAAAAATAAAGTTTACATCTTGAAAATTTTTTAGCTTTGAACTTTTTAATTCTTATTTTTTCTATTATCTGATAATAATAAATTTCTGCAGTTGCAGAACTGCAACTCATGGATATACCCTTACCCAACTACACTCTCTCCCCACCCCCCAAAAAATTGTAAAGTGATATTGCTTAATATCTTAATCCTGGTGATTCAATAAAGTTAATGAATTGGAACTGGAAAACTTACGGGTATAAAAAAACAAAATGCTACTGAAGAATAAAATATCAATACTCATATTCTCTTGAGCTTTTGATAAAAAAAAAGCTTCAATAAATTTCAGGGGATCTAGATATTTCGGTATAGAGTCAATTTCATAACAATAGAAAGACCAGCCATTGACTGATTTCTGCATATCACTGGTAATCAACATAATGGTTTACAAGACACTTAAGTTAAACTGTATCTACATATACAAATCTAAAATTTTTACTTAAAAAAACAAAACATTGGTTTTTAATGTAGAACCACAATATCTGTGTTAATAAAACAACCAACAACAATTACTGTTCAAACTTTACACACAATACTTTGTTTCACAATTTAACTGATTAAACTTTACACACAAAAGATTTGTTTTTATTCATACATAACAAAAAATCTCTAAACTGAAATTCCATAAGATCTATTAAAACAATTCTTCCCATATACATGTATGAATGTACAAGACTGTTACCTTATAAATAGTTATGGACTCTGAACACATCATTCCTGAGATGCGACTATTCCGGGATGAGTTCCGATTCCGTCGTCTGTAGGATTGTTTGACCGTCTGTGTCCATCGCTAGAAGGGCCTGTACCGTCTCCAGAGGAATCGGTTCCCCGTCCCCTCCCTGGAGCTGCACAGTGCTGCCATCTTCATTCTGTATAATGATGAACCCATCAGGGGTTTGATAAATATTAGATGCAGTTATTATTTGATTGGCTTGAAATCCTGCCTCCTCCAATGTGGATTCATCCACTAACTGAGTCAATTCTTCTTGGTTCTGTAATCCGTCCTCCATGCTCGCCTCCACCATAACATGTGAAGTTTCATCCACAACCTGAGCACTTCCGTTATCACTAACAACTTCAGCTGTCATCAAATTCACAGATCCCTCAGGTGTGGAACCAATGAAGTCAGTTGTCACAAAACTCTCTTCATCATTGTTGGTTATATGAATATCAGCACTGGTAGTTGCCAGTGACGACACAGAATTATCAGTGGTTTGCAAAGTCACAGATTCCGATGGGACGACAGTCAAATTTTCCACAATGCTGTTGTTCTGAATGACAACAGATGGAGTGGAAGTAACAGTATTTTTGGTACTTTCACTGTCCTGACAATGAGTGACTGTTGAAGTTTTACTGATCGGGGTTTCACTGATGACGAGCCCCTCAGGGGACACAATCCTTACTATCTTGGTCTCTCCTGCTGGAGAAATCGTAGGGGCCTTGTTCACTTTGTTCAGAAGGCTAACTCCTCCAGAGAAAACGGGCTGTGGCACGTTCTGCACCACCACCGGTGACCCACTTGCAATGGTTGGTTGATGTCGACTTCGAGCAGGTACGGACTGCACAATGATAGGGGCGGACGGTTGGGACTGAGAAATTAGAAGTTTCTGAGAGTTAATGGTAGAGGACAAGGCAGCAGTGCCTTGAGATTTGACTTTGGCCACTGCCTTGCTCATTGTGGAAGGAGAAATTGGATGGATGACTATGGGAGGTTGGGTGGAAGATCTTCCAAGACTACTTATTGCAGCGTCACTGGTGGAGATGGTTATCTTTTTATTGGTTGTGGTGGTAGAACTTGGATTAACAATGGGGAAGGTGTTGCTGTTTGAAGAATTTTGAGATGATAATGATGAGGAGGAAGGAGAGGAAGCAATTGCTGCTGACATTGAGGGTTTAAATTTCTTTGCAGGAGAAGAAATTTCTTCTTTAATCACTGTGTTTAGATTGCGTTTCACAGGAGTGTTCACCGAGTTGAGTGTCATAGCGGCATGCTCAGGGAATGTCACTGATTCCTGGGTTGCAGGCATTTCTTTCATCTCATACCCACCAACCTCCAGTCCTACAGCACCTGCAAGCTTCTCATCCTCAACCTACAATGGAAGCCAATCAAATTATTTGTGAGGGCTCCAATCTTGATTATATAAAATTAGGGGCAGTGATCAGTGTAAAATATTGTTTTCCTAATTGTAATTATATATCCCCTCAAAGCAGTGTTAGAGGTGATATAGTTACGTGCTTTTGTGCATGTTTGTCCCTGTGAGAAAGGGATGTGACCTGCACTAGAATCGATGTTAAATGCTGTCTTGATTTATAGATACATTCTTCGTGAGGTGTTGCTCCAAGATTGCAATACTTTTGTTTTTTCTTATTACTATAAAGTCAGTATAAATATAATGTTGGTCTAAAAACAAGAGGCCCAGGGGCCACAGCGCTCACCTGAGCACATCGGCTTGGAAAAAGCACATATCAGATCAGATCTGAAAGTTTACTGAGGTGGGGGGGGGGGGGGGGGGGGGGTTGCATTTACAGGGGTTCTACTGAGGTTGGAGGGGGGGGGGGGGTTGTGCAACACCCCCCCCCAGGGGTTTTGAACAAACTAGAATCTACACTTTTCCATATAAATATCACTAATCATGGATTTGAAGTACTTGAAAAGAAGATTTTAAAAGGTATCCCTAAATATCCCTATGTAAAACTTGGGTCTGCCATTTTGGCCCCACCCTAGCCCCGGGGGTCATGATTTGAACAACAAGAGGCCCATGGGCCACATCGCTCACCTGAGTAACTTGGGTGATGCAGTTCTTTACCAGATTCCCCCTCTTGCTATAGTCCTATCATGCCCCACTACCCCCTTCCCTTTTATGATTTGAAAACTTTAGCTACACTACCCCAGGATGCTTCCACATAAGTTTCAGCTTTCCTGACCCAGTGGTTCTTGAGAAGAAGATTTTTAAAGATTTGTTCTATATATTTCTATGTAAAACTTAGAATTCCCTATTGTGGCCCCACCCTACCCCCCGGGGTCATGATTTTAACAATTTAATATCTACACTACCCAAGGATGCTTCTACATAAGTTTCAGCTTTCCTGGCCCAGTGGTTCTTGAGAAGAAGATTTTTAAAGATTTGTTCTATATATTTCTATGTAAAACTTGGATTCCCTATTGTGGCCCCGCCCTACCCCCGGGGGTCATGATTTTAACAATTTAATATCTACACTACCCAAGGATGCTTCCACATAAGTTTCAGCTTTCCTGGCCCAGTGGTTCTTGAGAAGAAGATTTTTAAAGATTTGTTCTATATATTACTACCTGGGTATGTAAAACTTGGGTCGGCCATTTTGGCCCCACCCTAGCCCCGGGGGTCATGATTTGAACAAACTTGAATCTACACTACCTGTGGATGATTCCACATGAGTTTCATCTTTCCTGGCCCAGTGGCTCTTGAGAAGAAGATTTTTTTATATTAAATGCCATTAATTTTTCTCTAATTCACAATTATCTCCCCTTGGAAAAGGGCGTGGCCCTTCATTTGAACAAACTTGAATCCCCTTTACCCAAGGATATTTTGTAGCAAGTTTGGTTGAAATTGGCCCAGTGGTTCTTGAGAAGAAGATGAAAATGTAAAAAGTTTACGACGATGACGACGACAACGGACAAATTTTGATCAGAAAAGCTCACTTGAGCCTTTGGCTCAGGTGAGCTAAAAACATATAGAAGATATTCTACAGTTCTACTACGAGGTAAGTATCCATTTGTTTCATTTTTTTAAAACCCACCTTCAAAATGTTCTGGCTTTTCTCTGTGCTGGGCTGCATAAAAGTTTTACAGACTTCCCTCACTTCCTTGGCGAGTGTTTTGAACTCATTGTAAATGAGGTCAGCGTGAGGTCGTCTTGGCACACCTTTCTGTACCTTGAGGAGGAGGAAGTCCCAGAGAGTGAAAACTTTAGCAATCCGAGGTAAAACTAGGTCAATCAGATCCTCATCAGAACAGCTGGATATCAACTACAAGCAGATAGCAGGAAAATAAATATAAGTTAATAAACAAAATGCATTTAATTAGTGTGTGTAGCTCACCACTTGAATTTCAATGCATGCATTTGGCTTTATGATCAAATTTAAGCAACAACAAATCTACTGAAAAAGGTGTGTCTGTGTGAAAAATTCTCATTTGAAGAAACTATTCTTTCAATGAAATGGTTTATAAACTGCTTAAATCTACATATGTATTCTGTCCCTACTCTATGGCCTTGTTCAAATCTGAGTGTAGATACACTGTACTTGTATACTAAACAATTGCTAGTATGAAAACATGCAATGACACTTTCCAAAAGACTAAGACTAGGTTGAATAGCAAAATGTAAATTAAAATATGATAGTATTCTAATGTTTTGTTCCAAAATATTCCAGTATCAACTGAGATTTTTTGCCATGCACGCTCTGTTCAGACATAATTCAAACTATGATTAGTTTTGTTCATTGTTGCATGTTTAAATGCCTAACATTAAAAAAAAAAGTTTAGAGACATTTGATGAAGTTAAGTCTAAAGAAAAGGTAAAAATTAGAACACAAAGACTGAAATAAATTTTTAATGCTTGTTGGAAGGAGGGACGGGATTGGATGGGGGGGGGGGGGGGGGGGGGGGCTAGTAGTAGTAAAAAAGTGACTAAGGTTTTATGGAGTTTTGCCACTTTTAGTCAAATTGGTTTACTGTTGATAAAAGTAAAAGGTTTTGATGCATACTAACCAGTTCCATCGTTTACCTGCATAACTAATGGAACAAAATGATTCTAGAGGAATTGTTTACACAATTACCCTCACCTCTTTAAGTTTAGATCTGCGTCTGATGGCTGAGTTTGGCCCAGGTGGCCTACCCCTGCTCCCTCCCCGCCTCTGGTAATATCCCCGGGTGGAGGGGGGTCGAGGTGGGGTGCTGGAGGTAGAGTCCTGTGTATTGCTATCCTCAGACATGTTCCCAGCATTGGAAAATCCATTATGGGACACACTCCCAAAATAACCTGTTTGAATCAAAAGCAGTGTTTATTTACTAGTCTATTAAGGTTAAAATTCCATTCAGAGATCTATTGATTACGATTTCAATTTTACCACAAACTTCATATATTTGTTCCTAAAATGCACATATAAAGCTATGTGTGATAACAAGGCAATGCATGTGTGTCACATAGATATTAAAATATTTAATTACAAATGTACAGAAAATGACTTACTTCCTTGTGTTGTTATCTGCTGACCGTCGGGGGCATGGTCTGGGTTCAGTCTATAATGTCGCTCTAGGCTTCCCTGTCCTATGTATGCCTTATTGCAAACAGAGCACTGAAAGTTCTTTGGTTTTCCTGATGTGGGCAAACCTGTGAAATCTTCAAGTCATTAGCAATAAAAAAACCTCAGGGCACATTTTTCATGTATTCTCAACACTAGATATATAAATTCTAGGGCTGTCACGGTTAACCGATTGTCAACATTCGGTTACACAATTTTCCGCATGGTGGTTCGGTTTTTTTTATCTTTTATATAATACTAATTTGCTTGCAACACGCGTTGTGATTGGTTGTTTATTTCAATGAAGGGTTCTTTAACCAATGAAAATACAGATAACATCGAAGACATTTAAACATGGCAAATACATGTGGAAGGAAAACCAAATCACAAGTAATTGTTTTGTCAACCACGTCCCCTACTTTCAAAAACGTGAAGTATTCCCACACTTGTGATTTGGTGATAACTCTAGTCAATAACTATATTTATTTTATTTTAAACAAGAAGTTTATTACTTCGTTATTTTTTGTTACATTTAACCACTTGTTCTGCTGAATAAAATGGATAGAAATTTGTGTCAGCAAAATAGTACTTTCTACAATGTCCTTAATCCTCATTATCCTTTGATATATATAAAGATTTTTATTTAAATTCTCAAAATGAAAACCGACAAAAAACCGAAAACCGAGAATTTATTTTCTGAACCGAACCGAACCGAAAAATGTCTGAACCGTGGCAGCCCTAATAAATTCAATACCGGTACCGGTGTTTATCAAATCACTGACCCTGCAGTGGGGTATGTCTTTTAACCACAAGGAACCACAAGGAACCCCAATGAACCACAATGAACCACAAGGACACCACAATGAACCTCTTATTTAATTTTAATGAATCTAGATATGGTTTATATGCATTTTCTAGTCATTTGAGTCATACAGGTGACCTATTTATATCTGTTATAGTCCGACATTGTGCTTCCTGTCTGTCTGTTTCCTAATCTTTTGAACCATTTCAGTTTCTTTTCTTGAACAGCTTATCCAATTTCAACCAATTTTGGCACAAAGCATCTATAGGTAAAGGGGAGCATAAAGAAGATATTCAGTGGATGTAAATATACCGTATAAGTAGAATTTTTAGCGAGGATTTAATTTTTGCATTATTAGCAAGGGTGCTGACATCGCTAAAATTGAATATCGCTAAAAATTAATTTCCTATTATTTATACCAGTTTTTAGGTAGAAATCGCTAAATTTGCATCTCGCTAAAATTTCCTCTTATACGGTATACTGTTTAACATACGTCTTCACTCAGATTTTGAAATCCAAATCTTTTTGTTCCCCTTTACCTATACAGCAGTCTATCCCAAAAGCACCGGTCCGTCGGACAAAACAGGTGAAAATCTGATTGGTCTGATGCATTATCTAGTAAATTCGGTCCGTTTGTCCGAGGTTCGTTTTGGTTGGATTTTAAATTTTATATTTCTATTTCATCATATAGACGCTTAATCTTATACCAAAACACACTTTTAAAAACCTATTGTATTTGTTGATTGTGATTGTTTTAAAACCTACTAAAAAAAAATAATGTTTGTTACCCATTCAAATTATCCCCGAGTGGATTTTTTTTCTGACAATCAATCAGCCGATTCCATTTATTTAAATAAAAAATTAACTTGTAACTTTTACTAACTTGAGACATAAAATATGTCAATGTAGTTTACAAATTACCTTAAATATAAAGAGTAATCATTATTGTAACAACAATTTCCCTCAACAACGTTGTGAAGTTTGTTTTCTTCCGCTAGGTAGCCATTTTGGATGCCATGTTGGGTGTCCACTGGAAATATGACACCTGGTATTCAGTGTGTTTGGCCATACATAAGCAGAAAAAAAAGAATTCCTGTCACCCTTATTTTTTGGGGAATGTTACAGGAAAAAAAATTTTTTAAAGCTTAAGACATGTTTACTGATTCATATGCCATGAAAAAACATCGTTGTGATCATTATATGAAAAAGTTTTGGACCGGTGAAAATTCGTTTGGTCCTGTGAAATTGTGTTAACTGTCTGTCCAAATGTCCTGTGGCGATTTTTCTTTTTCGCGAAGACTGATACAGTAAAACTCGTTTAGTACGAACACGGATATAGAGAATTCACGGATATAGCGAAGTTATCTTGGATCCCCAGCTATGTGAATTTAACGTATTCCTTGTACGGATATAACGAATTATGGATATAGCGAAATTATTTTTTAGGTCCTGGTGACTTCGCTTTAACCAAGTTTTACTGTAGATGCTTTGTGCCAAAATTGGTTGAAATTGGATAAGCTGTTCAAGAAAAGAAGCTGAAATGGTTCAAAAGATTAGGAAACAGATGGACAAAACAACGTCGGACTATAACAGATTTAGGTCACCTGTATGACTCAAATGACTAAAAAATGCATATAAACCATATCTAGATTCATTAAAATTAAATAAGAGGTTCTTTGTGGTTCATTGTGATTTCCTTGTGGTTCATTGTGGTTTCCTTGTGGTTCATTGGGGTTCATTGTGGTTCCTTGTGGTTAAAAGACATACCCCCCTGCAGTGTATAAAAGTAACTTTCGGCAATAGTTTTTCTCTCTCAATATTGAATTGTAGTATATAATTTTAAACTGTAATTCTGGACTTCACGATTTATACAATTATTAATTTTAATTTGATTAATCTAGATTATCCTTCTATAGAATACCAATTACAATACTCAAAACTTTAAAGCTTGAATTAAGGTAACATAATACTTGTTGTTTAAGCAACTGAACAGTTTACCCATGTCGAGGCTGCTCTCGTCTTGGTCATCAATCACATGATCATCCTCTTCTTCCTCACCCTCGCTGTATTTATAGTCCGAGTATCCTCCATCCGAATCATCCGCCGCCTCTTCCTCCTCAAAATCCAACACATGAATGTGTTTGTAGTCCTTCACCATGTGTTTAGGAGGTTTTGAAATCCTCCCTGATCGTGTACGTGGGCGGTGTTTCTTTCGCTCCTCTTTTTCCTCTCGAGATAGATCTGGCCCATTGAGGCGATCTTCATCATCCTCTATCATTCTTTTCTTGTACGGCCGTCTTTGACCGTCTTTCAGAATCAGAGTTTGTGTTTGCTGCCCTTGTGAATGTTTCCTTGCTCCACCTGTCTTTAGACTGAGAGTTGAAGATTGAGCATTTTTATGGAGTTCTGAAGGGTAAATGACCCTGTAAACTATCCTTGTATTTGTCTGAGGATTGAACAGAATACTTGACCCTTCTTCTGACGTTTTTGTGACCTGTTGCTGTTGAACGACTTGCATTATTTGTTGGAGTTGCTCGGTGGACAGATTCTGCATGGGTGTGTATTGATTTCCCTGCTGGATGATGCGGATTGGATTTTGACTAGATCCCAGTGGAGCGCCACTAGCTTGATTGGATGGCATCAGTGTCAAACTTATTCTGCCTGAAGCAGAGTCTAGTTTCAAGACGTTATTTTGGACAGTGGTTGACATAGCGTCATTGGTAACATTGGGGTCCCCTGTTGTCAAACCCTGTTCTGGAAGAGTCACAGCAGTCATTGCTGCTGTGGCAAAGTCTGATTCATTTTTCACAAGTGCATATTCAGTGTTTGAGTAGCTATCCTCACTTTGGGCCACACTTTCACTATTAAAAGCATTCACCACCAGTTGATCGTTAATGCTGTCATTTGTTGTTCCATCAAACGCTGTATTGGACGCATCTTCTGTCACCAGCTGGTCACTGTCACCATTTATCTCATCAGCAGTGACGAACGCCTCTGAGGTGACCACGCTAGCAATGAGTTCTTCCTCGACACGCGCCTCGGGATCCGTCCCACTGGCATACCCCATGCCACTTTGTACGAATGTCCCCGTCGCTTCGTCCAAAGCTTGTTGGATAATATCCTCATCTGTTACCCCAACTCCGTTTACAACAGATCCGTCGATGTCCTGGGTGGATATAATGGTTCCATTTTCTAGAACATGCGTTCCATTCATATCAATAACATTGGCCACAGGGTCCGCCATATTTGTTTTGACTTCGCTGGGTATTTTTATTTTTATGGAAAAGTTCCACTATAACATTAATGTCGTGGTCTCTTGTTGAGTAGAGAGATACATTTAACTTACATTTCACAAAAGTCAAAAATTTCTTTGGTGAAATATTCGCCTGTTTCCGTAGTTTACGATGGCGCGAACACATTCATTCATTTTCCTGTTTTTCTGCTCGTTAGGGGTCGCTGTGAACATGGACCCTGCAGGTTACAGTTGAAATCCGCGAGTCGTCGACAACGTTTCTTCAGATAAACGTATTTTCAAATTCAAGTTGATAATTTATTTAAAATACTGAAAACCAACTGAATGATAAGAAAAAAAGCTTTTACGTTAATTTATATAAATCTAAATTTCTTTGTTAAAAATTAATTTTTGATGGTAAAATTTTATGGTCAAATTTCAAAATATACGTATAAAAAGGTCAGAAGATAATTATAGAGTAAGAATTAGATCTCTATATAATTCATTATGATATAAGTTAATCAGTTCAGTGAATTTGAAATGCTAAAAAAAATTATTTTTTTAATTCTGGAAAACCTTTTTTTATCCAGCAGTGTTCGACTAAATTTTTGCTAGGGCACATGACTGTTAAGCTTTTGCCTTATGATAAAAGTCAAGTTTTCAATTCAATCGTTAGGGGTACCGGTAGATCCAGGTATCGAAGATGTTCATAGAGACAAAAATAACTGACAGGCTGGGAGGTAGGGGGCGTGTTTTTACTTGTCAGTTGAAATTTGAAACAGGCACGTAGCATCGTTTTTGAAAGTGGGGGGCCAACCTGAGAAAAAAATTTTTTTACTTCCCTGAAAAAGTTGACAAGCAAAAAAAAAAAAAAAAACCAAAATTAAAAGTTGAGCAAAGTATGAAGTCCAAAGATTGGAGCAGAGGGTTAAATCCCCCATTTCATTCGGAGTCAGATTAGAATTGGATTATACTATTTATAAATCTACTTAGTATCTATGAAATATACTTATTTACAGGGGATGACAATCCCATTGCCCGACGCCCGGGGCTAGTGAATTTTAGGGTTGGGCAAGAGAAATTTTATTTACCACTTGCCCGTGGGCAAGTGACTTTTCAATTATCAATAAAATCAATTTTAATTTAATATTAAACTCAGTATTTGTCTTTCTCTTTTATAGAAATAATTATAAATACAGTATAAGTTAATGGTAGGGCAGGCAGAAAAATACACAATATTTGATAAATCAATATTTTTTGGTGTGACCATGCACTTGCCCTTGGGCAAGTGCCTTAAAAATCTATTTGTCAGCCCCTGTATTTAGTACTAAATGTACTGTCATTGGGGAATATATTTAACGCCAAACTTTTGTATAAAATTGGAAACTATTTCTCTACTAGTATCAGAGGCGTAGTCACAAACTTAAAAGTGTGTGTGTGTGTGTGTGCTTTTTTGACATTGTAGGCATCGTTTTTTTTTTTTTTTTCAGTAAAAATTGATTGAACTCGTAAATATATATACTTTCCTTTTCAAAGGTCATTTTTAAAATTATTATGTTAAAACATTTACAAGTACTCTAGAGTTGATATGAAAAGGATGCTCACATTTCTACTTATAGTTAACACCATTCATGCTGACTGCTGATATAAATTTAATAGTAAAACCAGAAACAAAAATATTGGCATTGAAATATAAAATAACACAGGCATTAATACATCGGTTTCATACTTTAAATTTTACTATAAAGAGACAAGTTAAATATTTCAAATAAGCTTATACAGTATACCGAAATCACAATGTCCTCCGCTTAACAAGGAAAAAGAAGAGTATATATGCGCGGACCATGGAGGGGGGGGGGGGGTTACTTTAACCTAAAAATCAAATACGGGCCTTTTTTTATGCCATAGGGAGTTGTGGTATAAAATTTCATTGCAAAACCTAAAAGGCTTACTTTGTTATATGTGTTAAACGGAAACGGGATACAGTTTTAAAACAGGCAGATTTTTGGATTGATAACCTTGACGATTGGACCTCAATATCATAGGGGTCTTTCTTAGGCCATAGGGAGTTATTGTGTAAAATTTAACTGCAAAAGCTCGGAGACTTTTTGAGATATCGCGTAAACGAAACGAACTTCAGACTGACGGACGGGCGGCGAACACAAGAGGTCTTGACAGAAACACGGAAATTAATACCACCCACTTTCAGCGGGGGACAATAACCAATCTTTCTGATTAACGTGATAATTTCATCGCCAGTTTCCCTTACTTATAAGCAATTTCTTAAGTATCTTAACGATTTTCATACTAATGTTTAGTAAATAAAAATAACTGGACACTTTGTCAACGTTTTTTATGTTCTCTTGATTATGACAAGGAGCACACGGCGGGTGTGACCGGTCGGCAGGGGGATGCTCACCCTTTCATGACACCTGATCCCACCTGTGACGTTTCAGAGGCCCATGTTTGCTCTGTCCTGGGCATTGTTTGAATAGACTTTTGAGCTTGAATACTGTTCGTTATCTCCATATACACTATCCTCCATTAATCAGTAGATCCACTTTGTTATTTTGTCAATTTTTAAAGAAAAATCCGATTTTTTTAATGCGAGTACGCTATTTAGCAAAGAGAGACAATTTTCATTATGGTTTTAAAAAACATATAATTCATAATAAAAATTGTTTTCTCTGTACAAGAACAATTTAACCAAAAATATTCTACTAAACTAGTCCATTCTAGTGATCAGCAAATAATACTTTACTGCAATGTGAGTCAAAATTATATGCATTTCGCGGATATGGGCAGATTCTCGGTAGAAGATAGCAGATGAAAACTATACTTAACGAATCGTTAACTATAGTTTACGGTTTGTAAACTATAGTTTACAGTCGATAAACCTAGTTTATCAATTGTTGAAACTATTTTAAATCATTTTTGTGAATTTTGCGTGCCATAGTTAAGTATAGTTTACGGTTGTGAAACATAGATTTTCGCGTTAACTATAGTTTACAGATGTAAAATATATATAGCACGCCAAATTCACAAAAATGAGCTAAACCTAGTTTCACAATTGATAAACTAGATTAATCGACTGTAAACTATAGTTTACAAACCGTAAACTATAGTTAACTGGGTTTTCATCTGTAAAACTATATTTAACAGTTGTTAACTAGAGTTTACGAATGCTAATCTAAGTTTATCTGTCTGTAATAAGCGTTAACAATAGATTTTGTTGATAAACATAGATTCACGTTTGTAAACTATATTTTACAATTTAAAAAAGTTAAGAGTTTTTTATATATATATATTTATCAGATCGTTAACTATAGTTATCGGTTTGTAAACTATAGTTTACAAATCGTGAAACTGTATTTATCAGAAAATCTATGTTTTTCAAAAATATAGTTTTCGGTGTTACGTAATTTACGGTTGTAAAATTGTTTTCTGTTAACTATAGTTTACAATTTAAAATATAATTAACTGTTAACTATAGTTTACAGTCCATAAACTACAGTTTACAAATAAACCTATTTTATCTATTGTGAAAAATTATTTGCTCATTTTTGTGAATTTGGCGTGCCATACTTAGTTTACAGTCTAAACCTAGTTTATCAATTGTGAAACTAGGTTTAGCTCATTTTTGTGAATTTGATATAGATATAGATAGCATCCTATATTACTTGCTACGTGAGAGATAGCCAGAAAACTTGGAGCTACAAGGTTAGTGGTCACATTTTAATTTCATTTGATTGCTATACTAGTAGCTAGGTTCGCATGCAGATGCTCCACCACCAGAGTCAGAGAGGACGGGATACTTGTAATACAGTCACTGCAGAGAAGAAGAGAGACACAACTAAGAACAAGGTGGATTCAGCACTGGGCTCAGGCATCAACCAGCACAGTACGTCAAAAGACAACTAAAAGAGGTTGATACTCAGTTTAACTGCCAAATCTCAAGTAACGGAATTGAAGCTATTGATGCACTATGTAATCAAAACAGCCCTACACAAAAGAACCTCTGTCCAAAGGGTCAGGAAATTCAAAGGTTTGGAAGAAGGCACCCATGGTGATTATATCTATGCATTCAATTTGTTTGCTCAGTTTTCTGGAAATTATGCACTCTAACTATATAATTAATTTGACCCCCATCCGTACAAAAAATCCCAGCTCTGAGGTCAGAAACACATTTTTGGGAATTTTAATATCATATTTTTGCTTACATATTTCTGTTGTAATCCTCAACACACGTGCTGTATCATCATTAATCTTTTGTTAGTTGCTACTATCAATTTTGAATTTCTTTCCAGTATGTTTTTCTTCTTTAAGTTTTTTACAAAAAAGTTAGGCATATTTTGCCTTCCCCTACCTTCAAGACACATTTTCTGATCTTTAGAAGTTCTGTCAATATACTATATTACATAAAATTGATCTCTTACTGTGGCACACTCTCAGGGCAAGTTCTTTGAACTTGAAAATTAACCAAACATATGCCTCCTTTTGCTAAATCAATCAATAAATATTTTATAAACTTAACCATGGGTCCCATTCCTTTGCAATAAGAACACCAATCTGAATATGTTTTTAAACTCTTGTCTGACATCTTCCTGATCTTTTCTAGAAGTGGTTCATTCCTGTATGAGCTTAATTTTAGAAAAGGACATGGTCCTTCTGTTTCTAAAATCATGACAAATGTTTCGTTACTTATGTAGAAAATTCCCCTATATTGGGGAAGAGGATATGAAATTATGAAAAGTTTATGCAATGTAAACATATTACATGTACATGTACATATCCAAAGCTCATCTGACATCCTGGCTCAGGTGAGCTCTAATACATTAACATAATACATACTATAGTATTACAGTATAATATTACTGTAAAACTCAATCATTTTTCTTGGGGGTCAATTTTGTAGTTTGCCAAAATATGATGGTATTCATTTTGTGGTTAAGAAAATGCACTTAACCTTGCCATTTTTGTATGCGCCCGAATCAATAGATTCGGGCGTATATTGTTTGTCCTGTCTGTTGTCAACTTTAACCTTCGCCATAACTTTTGAACCGTGAGAGATAGAAATTTCATATTTGGTATGCATACTCCACTAATTAAGCACTTTAAACTGACTCCAAGGTCAATGACCTTGTGACCTTGACCTATATGCTAAAAATAGCTTCTTCTGACTTTTGAACCATAGGAGATGGAGACTTCATAT